TCTATATCTGATTTGGAATTTACATTTAATTTCAATTGAAGATCACTGCAGCGTTTGATAAGGTCGTGTTTTTCTGGAAAGTTGAAAAATTCAACCTCAAATTTTTTTTCTGGAGAAGTTATAGGCTCATCTTGGACAGTTTCACCAGCTTGGCGCTTAACACGTCGAATTCTTGTTGTCGCTCTAAACACAGGTTCTATTTCTAACTCTTCAGCCAATTCCTTCGCAGTTAAAATGGCGCTTTTAAAGCCTGTATTTCTATATTCTTCCAAGAAATTGCAGCATTTTTTCAACATGTCTGTGCATTTACCGAGATCCATGTCTGTTGATTGTAGAGATTTACTAACGACATTAATTTAAAAAAGTATGTCATACCAGACAACCAATGAAACTATGAAGCCGAAATATTTTAGCTGTTCGGCTAGAGTAGTAGCCTCATGAGAGACTTGAACATCAGTTTGCTGAGTTTCAATAACCAAAGTGATTAAAGCGTCATGGACGGCGCTAATTTGATAACGGACTGCTTTAACACTGCCTATTTTTGCTTCCCAACGCGTGTCACTGAGTTTTTTTATAGTGTACAATCCCAAGTGATCGATCAGAATTTTCCATCGATGAACAGAAGCTGAAAACAACGTAAACAACCTCTGAAATACTCCAAACAAAGTGACAGATTTTACAGATGACTTAGCGGCATCGCATAGTACGAGATTGTAGCTATGACAGCCACACGGTACATATACAGCTAAAGGATTTATGTCCAGAATTCTCCTTTGAACTCCAATATTTTTTCCTTTCAGTTTTGCTCCGTTGTCATAGCCCTGACCTCTACAGTCGTTCAATTCCAGTCCGTATTTATTTAAAATATCAATAATAACTTCAGTCAGCCTTTCACCAGTCGACTCATTAACAGGTAAAAATTCTATGAAATGCTCTTTTACTGATATTTTATCGACATCTGATGATAAATCAACAAATCGTATTGTCAGTGAAAGCTGTTCTACATGACTAATGTCCGGAGTACAGTCAGCTATAATAGAATAATATTTCGATTTCTTTGCACGTGATATGATTTCTGACTTCGCTTTTTCACCCATCAGCTCTATTAATTCATTTTGAATGTCTTTTCCGCAGTAGTGATCAGAAACATCACCCTTTACAGCTAATCGCAAGTGCTCCTCCATAACTGGATCAAATTTGGCTAGTAGTTGTACTAAACCCAAGAACTTTCCATTATTTGGCGTATAAAGTTTGTCGGAAGTACCTCTAAACGCCATATTGTTTTTAGCTAAATACAGTGTAATATGCATTAATCTAGACAAAATATTATTCCACCTTGTGGTTTCCTTTCTAATCAAATGTTGCTCTTGACAATCTATTGTTTTTCC